CAGTGACACGATCTCAGCTCACTGCAAGCTCTGCCTCCCGGGTTCACGCCATTCTCCTGCCTCAGCCTCCCGAGTAGCTGGGACTACAGGCGCCTGCCACTATGTCCGGCTATTTTTTTGTATTTTTAGTACAGACGGGGTTTCACCGTGTTAGCCAGGATGGTCTCGATCTCCTGACCTCGTGATCTACCCACCTTGGCCTCCCAAAGTGCTGGGATGATAGGCGTGAGCCACCATGCCTGGCCCACTCTAAGCATTTTAAAGTACAATTCGGTGTAGTTTAGCACATTCACAATGTTGTGCAATCATCGCCTCTATTTAGTTCCAAAACAGTTTCATAACCCCATAAGGAAACTCCAATTAAGCAATCATTTCTCATCCTCCCCGCTTTCCATCCCTTGCAACCACTGACTTGCTTTCAGTCTCCATGGACTTGTGTATGGGTGATCTTTGCACCACATCTCCCAGCTGACCTGACTGGGGTTCTCAGAACTGCACATGGTCTGTGATTCTTCCACTCTGCCGTTCTCCAGTGTCAGACCCAGACCCACTCACGTCACAATCTGAAGTCTCTTCCAGCCATTCCTTGTCTTTCTCTTCCTTTTTTTTTTTTTTTTTTTTGTATTTTTAGTAGAGACGGGGTTTCACCATGTTGCCCAGGCTGGTCTCGAACTCCTGACCTAGCGATCCGCCCACCTCGGCCTCCCAAAGTGCTGGGATTACAGGCTTGAGCCACCACGCCTGACCTTTCTCCTCCTTTATGCTTCACCAACCTTATCCCCAATCAATCTCTTGCATTTCTTTTCTCTCTCCTTCCTTCCTTCCTTCCTTCCCTCCCTCCCTCCCTCCCTCCCTTCCTTCCTTTCTTCCTTCCTTTCTCTCTCTCTCTTTTTTTTTTTTTTTTGACAGAGTTTCGCTCTTGTCGCCTGGGCTAGAGTGTAGTGGCATAATCTCAACTCATGCAATCTCCGCTTCCCAGATTCAAGCGATTCTCCAGCCTCAGCCTGTTGAGTAGCTGGGATTACAGGTGCCTGCCACCGCGCCCAGCTAATTTTTGTATTTTTAGTAGAAACGGGGTTTCACCATATTGGCCAGGCTGGTGTTGAACTCCTGACCTCAGGTGATCCACCGGCCTCAGCCTCCCAAAATGCTGGGATGATGGGTGTGAGCCACCGAGCCCAGCCAGACAGGCAGCCTTTTAGGGTCTCACGTGGATAACCCCAACAAACCCTCACAATTGCCTGAAGGCAGACCATCATGATCCTTGTTTTTCGGACAGGAAAACAGAGGTCCGAGACCCTCTATCCCTAGAGGTGTACATCCCCTCCCTGGGGAAGGTTCCGAGACCTCTGTGTTCCTAGACTTCTACATCCCCTCTCTGGGGAAACTTCCAGGCAGGGGACGTAGACATCTAGGGATACAAAAATAAAAATAAAAACCAGTCCCCACCACCAACCAGAAGCGGTTTCCTCAATATGAAAGTGCAATGTCATCTTTCTTAGAGGAAAAGCACAGCCTCTTCCCCTCGGCTGAGCCAGGCCAGCAGCCTAGCTTCCGGAAGGACCCTTAAGGCTCCAGATACCCAAACTACCCGTGGCCAGTGGTGACAGGGGCCTAATTCCCAACTTGAAAGTAGCCCGACAGGCTGGAGCCCTGTCCCCTAGCCTCCCCAGGAGGGCCCAAGCAGGTCACGTAAGCACCGTGGGGACACCAGTGAGCCACACCCATCTTTGTGCCAGGACACCGAGAGTTGGGTATGGAGACTCAGAGCAGGGACAAGTCTTCCTTAGGATCACCTGGGCTTTTTCTTTTCTTTTTTTTTTTTTTTTGAGACGGAGTCTCGCTCTGTCGCCCAGGCTGGAGTGCAGTGGCCGGATCTCAGCTCACTGCAAGCTCCGTTTCCCGGGTTTACGCCATTCTCCTGCCTCAGCCTCCGGAGTAGCTGGGACTACAGGTGCCCGCCACCTCGCCCGGCTAGTTTTTTGTATTTTTTAGTAGAGACGGGGTTTCACCGTGTTCGCCAGGATGGTCTCGATCTCCTGACCTCGTGATCCTCCTGTCTCGGCCTCCCAAAGTGCTGGGATTACAGGCTTGAGCCACTGCGCCCGGCCCACCTGGGCTTTTTCATCTTTATTATTATTAATATTTTGGAGGAGGAGTGGGACTCAGCCAGGTGGCAAACACAGGGCAGGGCAGGAGAACGGTGTCCAGGGCTGATGGAGGAGCAGGTAGCATGGACGCCTCCCTCCCCTGGGCTCCCTCATAGCCTTGTGTGACTTCCTCTAGGGGAGTTGTCACCTGCTGATTATCTGTGTTGCCCACAGACAGGGACCCCACTGAGGGTCAGAATCATGTCTGGGCAAACGGAGACTTCCGGAAAAAGAAGCGAAAGGAGGATGACCAGACCCAGAGGAGAGGCGTTTGGGGGCAGAAGGGGTGAGGGGAACTGGGAGACCTTTGCTCTCTAGCAGCCCCACTGGGACAGGATTTATTTTTATTTTATTTTATATTTTATTTTATATTTATTTTACTTTATTTTATTTTATTTTATTAATTTTTGGAGATGGAGTCTCATTCTGTCGCCCAGGCTGGAGTGTAGTGGCACGATCTCGGCTCACTGCAAGCTCTGCCTCCCGGGTTCAAGTGATTCTCCTGCCTCAGCCTCCCGAGTAGCTGGGACGACAGACATGCGCCATCACACCTGGTGAATTTTTGTATTTTTAGTAGAGACGGGGTTTCACTGTGTTGGCCAGGCTGGTCTCAAACTCCTGATCTCATGATCCGCCCGCCTTGGTCTCCCAAAGTGCTGGGATTACAGGCGTGAGCCACCGTGCCCGGCCACCCAGCTAATTTTTTTGTATTTTTAGTAGAGACGGGTTTTCACCATGTTGGCCAGGCTGGTCTCGAACTCCTGACCTCAGGTGATCCGCCTGCCTCAGCCTCCCAAAGTGCTGGGACTACAGGCGTGAGCCACCTTGCCCAGCTGACCCTGGCTGTTTAAAAAATTAAAATAAAAAATAAAGGAACGAGGCCAGGCGCGGTGGCTCAAGCCTGTAATCCCAGCACTTTGGAAGGCCAAGACGGGCGGATCACGAGGTCAGGAAATCGAGACCAGCCTTGCTAACCCAGTGAAACCCCGTCTCTACTAAAAAGTACAAAAACAAAAACAAAAAAACTAGCCGGGTGAGGTGGCGGGCACCTGTATGTAGTCCCAGCTACTCGGGAGGCTGAGGCAGGAGAATGGCGGGAACCCGGGAGGCAGAGCTTGCAGTGAGCTGTGATCCGGCCACTCCATCTCAAAAAAAAATAAAAATAAAAAAATAAAGGAATGAAACACTAATACATACTGCAACATGGGTGAATCTCAAAAACATTACACTGAGCATAAAAGACACCAGAGAGGGGCTGGGCACGATGGCTCCCGTCTGTAATTCCAGCACTTTGGGAGGCTGAGGCAGGTGGATCACTTGAGGTCAGCAGTTTGAGGGCAGTCTGGCCAACATGGTGAAACTCTGTGTTTATCAAAAAATGCAAAAATTAGCCAGGCATTGAGGCAGGCACCTGTAATCCCAGCTACTTGGGAGACTGAGGCATGAGAATCACTTGAACCCAGGAGGTGGAGGTCCCAGTGAGCCAAGATTGCACCACTGCACTCCAGCCTGGGCAATAGAGGGAAACTCTGTTTCAGGAAAAAAAAAAAAAAAAAAAAAAAAAAAAAAGGCCAGGCACGGTGGCTCACGCCTGTAATCCCAGCACTTTGGGAGGCCAAGGCGGGCTGATCACCTGAGGTCGGGAGTTCAAGACCAGCCGGCCAACATGGTTAAACCCCATCTCTACTAAAAATACAAAAATTAGCCAGGTGTGGTGGTGCATGCTTGTAATCCCAGCTACTCAGGAGGCTGAGGCAGGAGAATCACTTGAACCCAGGAAGCAGAGGTTGCAGTGAGCTGAGATTGCGCCACTGCACTCCAGTCTGGGTGACAGACGGAGACTCCATCTCAAAAAAACAAAAAACAAAAAAAACAGAAAAGAAAGAGGCGATGGTTGCATAACATTGGGAGTGCACTAATGTCGCTGAGTCACACATTTTTTTTTTTTCTTTTTTCTGAGACAGAGTTTTGTTCTTGTCGCCCAGGCTGGAGTGCAATGGCACGATCTGGGCTGACTGCGACTTCTGCTTCCCGGGTTCAAGGGATTCTCCTGCCTCAACCTCTGGAATAGCTGGGATTACAGGCGCCTGCCACCACACCCAGCTAATTTTTGCATTTTTAGTAGAGATGGGGTTTCACCATGTTGGCCAGGCTAGTCTCAAACTCCTGACCTCAGGTGATCCGCCCGCCTCGGTCTCCCAAACTGCTGGGATTACAGGCATAAGCCACAGCGCCCGGCCAAATCGTACACTTTAAAATGGCTAATGTTATGTGGATTTTACATCCATTAAAAGAAACGAGGTGGCATACTGAGGGAGGAGGTGGCTGGGACTTCTATGTCTAAGGGAAGAGTTCTGGGGGCCTGGACTCCTGCATCTTCGGGAAGGAGGAAGGAGTTGGAGCTTGGACTCCTGGGTCCCCAAGGGTGGAGGCTCAGATCTGAGTCCAGGGGAGGACAGGGCTGAGAGTTTGGATGTTGAATATACAAAGCTGGAGGAAGGAAGTTAGGGGCCCCCAAAGCTAAAGTGCTGCCTGTTAGGTTCTAAGGAGACAGGACACAGTGGTTTGGGGATAGACAGCCCTTAGGAAGTGGCCGCCAGACCAAAGGACCCAGGCAGTCCTGCAGCCTGGACTTTGCCTCTGCAGGATGCCTGCCTGAGCCCCACCCCAAATGCCAGCCCTTCTTCCCCGAGCTCACCCAGCCCCACCCCCAGGACTGAGAGCCCCAGGAAGCTTGGAGAGGTGAGCATCCCGGGGAGGCCCTGGAGGCTGGCAGGTGCATGGAGGGGCTGGGAGAGCAGGGAGAAACTCCCCCAGCAGGAGAATGTGTGAGCTAAGACTGAACACTGAAACAGGTGGAGAAGTTGCCTGGAGTGGAGAGCTGGCCGATTAGATCAGACCCCCTCCCGTGACTTCTGTTTGAGAGCCAATGAGGGCCCAGAGGCCACGGCCACAATCTCATGCACCTGGGCCCTCTTCAAAGGGCTGGTTCTTCAGGTGTGAAGGGGAGGAGAGAGAGAGAGAGGAAAGAGAGGGGCCCAGCTCCAGCCCCTCGTTCCCCTGCAGAGCCCAGCATGTGAGGCTTACCTGTCCCTGTCCCTGCTGGCTGGGCTATCTCGGGGTTTGGACCTCATGAATGTCAGAGGCAGGAGGGACTCCAGAGTCTAAAGAAGGAGGGCCTAGAGGTCTGACCCTGGGTTTGAGGGAGGAGGGACTGAGGGACTGGACTCCTGGGTCCTGGGAAGAAGGAGGAAGCCATGACCCCAAATCCCTAAGTACCAAGCCGGGAGGAGGTCAGAAGCTGAAGGTGGCTGTTGGGAGAGAGAAGGAAAAGGGTCAGGTGGCAGCAGCAGTCTTTGTCTGGCCGGAGGGATTTTCGGATGGAGATGTCATCGCTGAGAGCTCCCTTCCCACCCACGCTCAGCCTGCCTGGGGAACTCCAGCAGGGAAAAGGGGAAGGGTGAGAGGAAGGAGAAGGAGAGCGGAGGGGAGGAGGCGGGGTCATCAGGGCTCCGTATCTCACAGACCAGAAACAGAAGCTGCACCCAGAGAGCAGGCGAACCTCAGGCCCTCACTCTTGGGTACCCGAGTAGGTAAGAGCTGGGAGGTTGGACCTCAGAAGCTGGAGAAGAATGTCTGTATTCTAGGAGGAACTGGGGCCCTGGAATTCTGGGTCTTCCAGGTTGGAGAGAGCTGGAGGCTCAGATTCCTGGTTCCTGGGGAGGGAAGGGCTGAGACTTTGGACGTTGAACCCACAAAGCTGGAGGAAGGAAGTTAGGGGCCCCTGAAGCTAAGGTGCTGCCTGCTAGGTTCTGAGGAGACAGGACATGGCGGTTTGGGGGTAGAGAGCCCCTCAGGAAGTGTGGGTCAGACCCAAAGCCCCAGGCAGCCCTCCAGCGCTCCAGCCCGGACTTTGCCTCTGCCTTGGCCTGCCTGAGCCCCATCCCGAATGCCAGCCCTTCTTCCCCAAGCTCACCCAGCCCCAGTCCCAGGACTGAGAGCCCCAGGGAGCTTGGAGAGGTGAGCATCTCAGGGAGGCCCTGGAGGCTGGGAGGTGCAAGGAGGGGCTGGGAGGACAGGGAGAAACTCCCCAAGAAGAAGAATGTGTGAGATAGGGTTGAACACTGCTGTATAGGTGGGGAAATTGCCTGGAGTGGAGAGCTGGCCAATTAGATCAGACCCCCACCCGTGACTTCTGCCTGAGAGCCAAGGGGGGGCCTAGTGGTTGGGGCCACAATCTCATGCACCTGGGCCCTCCTTGAGGGCTGGTTCTTCAGGTGTGAGAGAGACAGGTGTCCTGCCTCAGCCCCGCTCCTTCACCTGCAGAGCCCGGCATGTGGGGCTACCTGTCGCTGATGCCCATCTTCCTAGCTGTCTGGGCTATCTCTGGCGTCTGGATCGTGTGAGTGTCAGAGGCATGATGGACTCTTGGGTCTGAGGGTGGAGGGGGCTGGGGCCTGGATTTCTGGGTCTGAGGAAGGAAGGGGTTGGGGGCCTTGACCCCTGGGTCTGAGGGAGGAGGGGCTGGGGGCCTGGACTCCTGGGTCTGAGGGAGGAGGGGCTGGGGGTCTGGACTCCTGGGTCTGAGGGAGGAGGGGCTGGGGGTCTGGACTCCTGGGTCTGAGGGAGGAGGGGCTGGGGGTCTGGACTCCTGGGTCTGAGGGAGGAGGGGCTGGGGTCTGGACTCCTGGGTCTGAGGGAGGAGGGGCTGGGGATCTGGACTCCTGGGTCTGAGGGAGGAGGGGCTGGGGGTTCTGGACTCCTGGGTCTGAGGGAGGAGGGGCTGGGGGGTCTGGACTCCTGGGTCTGAGGGAGGAGGGGCTGGGGGTCTGGACTCCTGGGTCTGAAGGAGGAGGGGCTGGGGGTTCTGAACTCCTGGTCTGAGGGCGGAGGGGGCTAGAAGTCCTTGTTTGTTTGGTCAACAGAAGGAAAAGTTGTTGGTGGGAGTTGCCCACTCACTCTGATTTCCCCCGTAGTTTTGCCATTGCAGTAACCAACAGGACGGTGGACCTCAGCAAAGGCTTTCCCTACATCAGGTAGTCCTGCCCGAGGGTAGGGATTTGGGGGTACTGCCGCTGCAGGAAAGTGAGGGCCCTGGCTTGGACTGCCCAGGATGACCCTTTTGTCTTCCCCAGCATCTGCGGATCCTTCCCCCCTCAGAGCTGCATCTTCAGCCAGGTGCTCAATATGGGAGCTGCTCTGGGTAAATATTGCTTAGCCCTTTGGTTTAGTGCTCCCCAGCCCAGCCAAGCGAGCTCCGAGACGGCTCCTTTCTCAAACCCAGGAGTCCATGCCCCAGGCCCCTCCTTCCTCAAAAATCCGGGAGTTTGCCGCCTTCTCCCTCACTTTGCTCCCCTCCCTTCCCTCGCTGGGTCCCAGGAGTCCCGGGTGGGTCTCCCTCCTACTTCCTTCTCCCCTCTCCTCCCAGCCGCGTGGATCTGCATTGTCCGTTACCACCAGCTCCGGGACTGGGGCGTCGGAAGGTGGCCTAACCAGCTGATCCTATGGACGGGTCTTCTCTGTGCCCTGGGCACCTCCGTGGTAGGCAATTTCCAGGTGAGACCCAGTCGGTGCCCAGGGTCTGCCCTCTCCGGCATCTGGAACTACAACTCCCAGCATGCCCCGCGGCCATAGGCTTATTGTCTCGCGGCTGGTTCCCGCGCGGCCTCCTGGGACTTGTATTTTTCTTTGGCCAGTTGCCTCGGACCAGCTGGATTCCTTTGCTTTCTGAATGGGGCACTCCGAGCGAGGCTGTTTGTATGTAGGACTTCTTTGACTTCGAGGAGGTTGGGATAATTTTCTGCCAGCCCCTCTCCCCAGCTCATTTAATGATGAAATTACTGGGCCAGGCGCAGTGGCTCACGCCTGTAATCTCAGCACTTTGGAAGGCCGAGGCGGGCAGATCATTTGAGATGAGGAGTTCGAGATCAGCCTGGCCAACATGGTGAAACCTCCTCTCTACTAAAATATATAAAAAGTAGCCGGGTGTGGTGGCAGGCGACTTAGTCCCAGCTACTTGGGAGGCACAGGCAGGAGAATCATTTGAACCCGGGAGGTGGAGGTTGCAGTGAGCCAAGATCGAGCCATTGCACTCAAATCTGGGGGATAAGAGTGAGACTTCTCTTAAAAAAAAAAAAAAAGATGAAATTACTGGCCGGGCTCTGTGGCTCATGGCTGTAATCCCAGCACTTTGGGAGGCCAAGGCGGGTGGATCACCTGAGATCAGGAGTTGGAGACCAGACTGGCGAACATGGTGAAACCCTGTCTCTACTAAAAATACAAAAAATTAGCCAGGGGTGGTGGCAGATGCCTGTAATCCCAGCTACTCAGGAGGCTGAGGCAGGAGAATCGCTTGAACCCGGGAGGCGGAAGTTGTAGTGAGCCAAGACCATGCCATTACACTCTAGCCTGGGCCACAAGAGTGAGACTGAGTTTCAAAAAAAGAAAAGAAAAAAGAAAAAAAAAAAGAAAGAAAGAAAAGAAAATAAATTACTGAGGCTGGGCACAGTGGTTCATACCTGTAATCCCAGGACTTTGGCAGGCGGAGGCTTGAACCCAGGAGTTCAAGACCAGCCTGGACAACATAGCAAGACTCTGTCTCTACAAAAAATAATTAGCCAGGTGTGGTGGCGTGGCCTGTAGTCCCAGCTATGCAGGAGGCTGAGGTGGGAAGATAGAGGATTGCTTGAGCCCAGGAGGTCGAGGCTGCAGTGAGCTGTGATTGTGTCACTGCCCTCCAACCTGGGGAACAGAGTGAGACCCTGTCTCAAAAAAGAAATGACTGAGATTTACTCATTCTTCATGTTAGGCAATTGACTGAACATTTGGCAGCCACTGGCAGCAGGCTTTCCATTTTGTACATGACTTCATTCCATCTCCATAAAGACTCTAGCTAGGTCTGTCCTTATTGCCCATGGACCACAGAGAATATATATATATGTGTGTGTGTGTATGTATATATATGTGTGTATGTACATATATGTGTGTGTATATATATATGTACATATATATATACACACACATATGAGATGGAGTCTTGCTCTATCACCCAGACTGGAGTGCAGTAGCATGATCTTGGCTCACTGCAACCTCCACCTGCCGGGTTCAAGTGATTCTCCTGCCTCAACCTACCAAGTATCTGGGACTATAGGCACCCACCACCACACCCAGCTAAATTTTTTTTTTTTTTTTTTTTTTTTTTTTTTTTTTTTTTTTTTTGAGATGGAGTCTCGCTCTGTCGCCCAGGCTGGAGTGCAGTGGCCGGATCTCAGCTCACTGCAAACTCCGCCTCCCGGGTTTATGCCATTCTCCTGCCTCAGCCTCCCGAGTAGCTGGGACTACAGGCACCTGCCACCTCGCCCGGCTAGTTTTTGTATTTTTTTTAGTAGAGACGGGGTTTCACCGTGTTAGCCAGGATGGTCTCGATCTCCTGACCTCGTGATCTGCCTGTCTTGGCCTCCCAAAGTGCTGGGATTACAGGCTTGAGCCACTGCGCCCGGCCTTTTTTTGTATTTTTAGTAGAGACGGGATTTCACCATGTTGGCCAGGCTGGTCTTGAACTCCTGACCTCAAATGATCCACCTGCCTCAGCCTCCCAATGTGCTCTGCAACTATTTATTTATTTATGTATTTGAGACAGAGTCTTGCTCTGTGGCCCAGGCTGGAGTGCAATGGTACGATCTTGGCTCGCTGCAGCCTCTGCCTCCCGGGTTCAAGCGATTCTCCTGCCTCAGCCTCCTGAGTAGCTGGGATTACAGGTGCCTGCCACCACACCTGGCTAATTTTTTGTATTTTTAGTAGAGATGGGGTTTCACCATGTTGGCCAGGTTGGTCTCGAACTCCTGACCTCAAGTAATCTACCCGCCTTGGCCTCCCAAAGTGCTGAGATTACAGGCGTGAGCCACCATGCCCGGCAATATTTGTATTTTTTGTAGAGACGAGATTTTGCCATGCTGCCCAGGCGGGTCTCAAACTCCTGAGCTCTAAGTGACCCGCCTGCTTCACGTTCCAAAGAGCTGGGAATACAGAGGTGAGCCATCATACCTGGCCGAAATTTTAAGTATTTTAAAATTTTAATGGAATATTATGCTGTGTATCTGTGAGTCACATACAACTGTTAATATTTGAGAATTTTTCACCTGCAAGACCAATTTTTTGGGGAAATATCTGTCCTCTGCTTTGAGAATGCAAGATTTATTCCACTCATATTTACAGAGCATCTGCTATGTGCCAATCACTGTCCTAGGAATTGAGGCTATAGCATGAACAACAGATTTAAACGCTCGCCCTTGTGGAGCTGACAGTAGCCGACGTGCTTAACAAGCCCATCACTGGGTATGGAAAGTTGGCGATCACTGTCTACTACGTTGGTGAAAGGCCCTGGCCCTCTGGTGCCCCTTACCCTCCTTCCCAGAGTCTCCCTCCCAACTCCTCCCTTCTCCTCCCAGGAAAAGAACCAGCGGCCTACGCACTTAGCAGGGGCCTTCCTTGCCTTCATCTTGGGTAACGTCTACTTCTGGCTGCAGCTCCTCCTGCGGAGGCTGAAGAACCTGCCCCAGCCCGGGGCTCCCTGGATCGGGCCACTCCGTCTGGGCCTCTGCAGCTTCTGCACCATCCTCATTGTGGCCAGTATCCTCCTTGTATCCCGGGTAGGGGTTGGGGGTGGCTCTTCACCGGAATCGGTCTTCCTGTCTGGCTGTGGGTCACCGGGGACGTCTCTTCCTTTCTCTGGGCTTCATTTGCACAGGATTATGGCTTTGTCGTCGAGAATGCCGACTTTGGGGTCACGTTGCCCAGGTTGGAATGCCCTGTCCTCCACACACTAGCTGGGGGAATCTTCCGCGGGCTGTTACTTCTTGGTGTCAATGGTTTCCTCGTCCCTCAAATGTGGATAACGACAGGCTGACCTCAGGGTTGTGAGTGGATAGGATAATATGCACACGGTGCTTAGATCTGTGCCTGGCATATAGTGAGTGACCAGTAAATACTGGAAGAATGATGATACCAAGAACAGTCCCAGGCCGGGCACGGTGGCTCACACCTGTAATCCCAGCACTTTGGGAGGCTGAGGTGGGTGGATCACAAGGTCAGGAGTTCAAGACCATCCTGGCTAACACGGTGAAACCCCGTCTCTACTAAAAATACAAAAAAATTAGCCAGGCGTGGTGGCGGACGCCTGTAATCTCAGCTACTCGGGAGGCTGAGGCAGGAGAATGGCGTGAACCCGGGAGGCGGAGCTTGCAGTGAACCGAGATCACGCCACTGCACTCCAGCCTGGGGGACAGAGCGAGACTCCCTCTCAGAAAAAAAAAAAAGAGACCAGGTCTTGCTCTGTTGCCCAGACTGGTCTTGAACTCCTAGCCTCAGGCAATCCTCCCGCCTTGGCCTCTCACCTTGGCTGGGATTGTAGGCATGAGCCACCACTTCTCAGCCCCCTTAGAAATCCCTGAATGAATGGAATACACTGTCTGGGAGGGCTGAGGTGATGAGTGACTCCAGTGAGAGAAGTTCCAGAAAGCAAGAGCTGTCTCTGCTAGGCTGGAGCCTGGAGCCTGCAGGAGCTGGCAGAGCAGGAAAAGGTCTTAAGAAGCTGCTGGAAGGCGAGAGCCAGAGAAGGGATGGGGCAGACCAGGAGAGAAAGGTGCAAGACAGGAGGAGAGGGCTGGAGAGAGGCAGGTAAGGCAGATAGGACAAGACTTGGGGTGACCAGCTGGCCAAGAGGGATGAAGAGGGGGCCGGGAGTGTCTGCTGGGGCACATGAGTGGATGGTGGAGTTGTCATGGAGGAAGGGACACTCGGAAAGAGAAATAGATTTTACAGGGAAGAGGGAAGAGATTAGACTCTGGGAGTGAGCAGGAGGTGCCTGTGGGCCTTGGGTAGCGGGGAGGATGTTCAGGAGAAAGTTGCAAAACACAGTCTGAGGCTGGCGGTGGGGAGGGAGGCGTATTTAGGAAACCCTGCGTGTTTGGAGGGAGGAGCAATGGCAGCTGGGTGTCCTGGACAAGTAGGGAGGCAACCAGGCCCTTCCCTGGGTCAGGGAAGGGAGACAGAAACTTTCTGGGATATTGGGAATGCAATAGTAACACGGGGGTGCATGCAAAGGAAAGTGTGTGCAAGCAGCTTGAGATAGAGACAGGCTGGAGAGCATCGGAGTTATGGAGGAAGGTGAGAGCTGAGGATGGGGACACCCAGAGATGGCCTCCGCCCAGCACGAGGGGGCACAGAGACCAGGCCAGGCTCCCTGTCTGTCACGGTAGCAGTGTGGCCCTTGACCCTGGGCAGTGATCGTCCTCCACGCCTGCTCGCTGCGCAGCGTCTCTGCGGCCTGCGAGTGGGCCGTGGCCATGCTGCTGTTCGCCCTCTTCGGTCTCTTCGCCGTTGACTTCTCCGTCCTGGAGAGCTGCACCCTGTGTGTTCAACCGTGGCCCAGCCTCAGCCCCCCGCCGGCCTCCCCCATCTCCCTGCCGGTCCAGCTGTAGCAGCCACCCTGACCTGGGCCTCGCCCTCACCAGCGAAGCAGGAAAGATGGGGCCAATCTCAGTGCCCCGCACGCAGCAAGATGAGCCACTGGGGATCTCTCCAACCGGCTGGGGCTGCCGCTGACTGACCTGGAGCCGGAGGACCTGTGTGCCAGCGCGGAGGGCCTCTGAACGGCTGGTGGCAGCCAGCATCCCCGTCCCCGCCTTCGGGCCCTGCCCCTGCAATTGGGCACCCAGGAAGCGAGAGGCCAAGGCCAGCCAGCTGTCCCTGATCAAGGCTATTTATTATTATTATTATCTTTTTTTTTTTTTTTGCCGCCGGCGGAATCAGAGACACGGACGCAGGCAGGATCACGCGAAACCAGAATTCCTTCCGGAGAGCAAATCCGTACAGAAGGTCGTGAAGGGGAGGACCAGGGGAGGAGGGGCCCAGGAAGAGGGGGTTGGGGACGACACAGGGACAGAGGGCCCTGTCCGGATCTGCTAAGCCACCCCAACCAGCTCCCGTCCCTCCCCCACCCCACCCCGCAGAGAGATTGATCCATAAATAAAATAATAAATTAATCAATAAATAAAATAGAAACAGCTCCCCCGCCCCCTGTTCCCCTAGAACCACCCCCAGTTGGGCACGGCCCGCGGAGCCCCATCCCTGCAGGGCAAGGCCGGTTTTTGTGTCCACCCCCCTCCCGACATGTTCCTTGGGCCTTATTTACAGATTCACAGTTGGGGGGCAGGGAAGGGGGGTGGGGGGTCCCCTCCCTCCCCGGCCCCCTGGGGTCAGGGCAGAGGGGTCCCGTTGGTGGCCAGGAGCTTCTTGTCCTTGGGGGGGCCTCGGCGGGGAGAGCTGCTCAGCTCTGGGTCTGGGCGGCCGGGCGGGGGTTGCAGGCTTCGGGGTGGGGCACCAGCAGGCCGGGTCTGGGCCCCATTTTTCTCATCTGCAAGGGAGGAAGAGGTTTTTCGTGGGTTCCACAGCCCAGGGTTGGGGTTCCCATTGCCAGGGGATGGGGGCAGAGTCTCCTTATCAGTTGGTCTCAGTGACCCCGAGGCTCCAGCTCCAATCCCCAATAAGACCCAGTCCCTCCACCACCTGGCCTTGAAGCCTCCAGACTTGGTTACTCGGAGGACACACCCCAAGTGACAAGGCCTGGCTCCCCTAGGATGGGGGCTGCACCCTATGCCCCCCGCAACCCTGGGGCCAGGTTAGTCCAAGGGAGACCTGGGCTGGGCCTGACTTTAGGAGACTCTCAGATTCTGGTTCTGATACTATTAAGAAACAGCTCGCCAGGGCAGTGCTCAAAGTTCATAGCCAGAGGGCCCCCTGGTTGTTAGAGAGAAATGTTCCACGGAACTGGGCTCAAGGGAGCCTCCTGGTGGCAGGGGTCTCAGGCCCCTCATGCTGGCCAGCCTGACTCAGGTCACTCTCTCCTGGGTCCTGAGGCCACCTCCTCTTTGGGACTATGGTGGAAACACTGGTTGCTGGGTGGTCTCTAGCAATTTCCATGGGACCCAGAATGTTACCTGAGGTCCCCTGGCAGAGACCTCGTTTTTCTTTTAAGACAAACTGAGGGGGCCGGGTGCGGTGGCTCACGCCTGTAATCCCAGCACTTTGGGAGGCCAAGACCGGCGGATCACGAGGTCAGGAGATGGAGACCATCCTGGCTAACACGGTGAAACCCTGTCTCTACTAAAAATACAAAAAAAGCAGGGTGTGGTGGTGGGCGCCTGTGGTCCCAGCTACTCGGGAGGCTGAGGCAGGAGAATGATGTGAACCCGGGAGGTGGAGCTTGCAGTGACCTGAGATCGCGCCACTGCACTCCAGCCTGGGCAACGAACGAGACTCTGTCTCAAAAAAAAAACAAAAAAAAACTGAGGGGGTGGCTGGGCGCTGTGGCTCACGCCTGTAATCCCAGCACTTTGGGAGGCCGAGGCAGGCAGATCATTTGAGGTCAGGAGTTTGAGACCAGCCTGGCCAACATGGTGAAACCCCATCTCTACTAAAAATACAAAAATTAGCAGGGTGTGGTGGCGGGCACCTGTAATCCCAGCTACTCGGGAGGCTGAGGTGGGAGAATCACTTGAAACCTGGGAGGTGGAAGTTGCAGTGAGCAGAGATCGCACCACTGCACTCCAGTCTGGGCGACAGCGAGACTCTGTCTCAAAAAACAAGAACTGGGGGGCTTGTCATAGCAACCACTATGACTTGGAGGCCTGGCCCCCCTGCTCCATTCTCCTTTATGAGACGGGTGGCTGAGCCCCCAGGGTGCCTGTTAGTCCTACATCTTCGAGGGTGTGCCCCTTTTGAGACCCCTGGTTGCTGAGGCCAGCTTTCCTTGGCAACGGGGTCCAGTGGACCTAATTTGCTTTCCGGTTGCCCCTAGCAACCATGAGAGGCGGGTTTCTGCACCTCAGCATGACTGCCATTGGGGACCCAGCGGTCGTGGAGGGCCATTCTGTGAACTGTAGGATGTTCTGCAGCATCCCTGGCCTCCACCCACAAGAGGCCACTGGCATCCCCCTGCTTTCCCCAGTTGAGATGAGGAAAAGCATCTCCAGACGTTGCTAAATGTCCCTGGGGGGTTGTGCTAGGCTGAGTAACGGCCCCCTCCGAAGAGGTCCACATGCAAGTACCGAGAACTTGTGATACGTTCCCTGACGGAGCAGAGGAGACCTTGTGCTGTGGGGAAGGTTAGGGACCGTGAGGTGGGGGGTTATCTTGGAGGATCTGTGCAGGTCCCGCCGAGTCACCTTTTCCCAGCTAAGTTCGGTCAGAGGGAAATATGGCGTCACTGGCTTTGAAGATGGAGGAAGGGGCCTTAACCAGAGGAGTGTGGGCAGCATCAAGGAACTGGAACCCACAAGGAAACAGACTCTGCCCGAGAGCCTCCCGGAGGGAGCGCAGCCCTCCAGGCACCCTGTGTTAGCCTGCGGAGACCGGGCTGGACGTCTGACCTCCAGGACTGTACAATAATCACCACTTGTGTTGTTTCAGCTCCTGAGGCTGTGTCATTTGTTGATGGTGGCCAAAGGAAACACACAGGGGCGAAACCAGCTCCCCGAGTTGAGAAGCATGGCTGCAGAGCCAAAGCCCTGACCCTGGCACTCAGAGTTTCTGGTGACAAGGCCAAAGCTGCCCTGGCCGCTGGCCTCAACACTGGGCCCTGTTTCCCTTCGGCAGGGGTCCGGGGTCCAGGAAGGGGCCTGGGCCCCATGAGGCTGATGCTGCCTGACTCCCCTCAGAGCAGACGGCTGTCCACGTGCCCTGCAATGGGGCCCCGTACGCTGTTTCACCGCGTCCCCCGCGACCTTGTTCCTAGGGGAGGGACTGCCGTGGTCTCAGGCATGAGGGCTGATTTCCGGGGCCGGCGCTCTTTTCCCTCGAGAATTCTGGCTACCTCTGGTTGCTTGGGCGGGCGCACCCCATGCTGTGGACTGAACACGGCATCCTCCCAAATTCATGTGCCAAAACCCAACCCCAGGGTGATGGTATTAGGCGGTCAAGTTGGGAGGTGATTAGGTCATGAGGGTGGGGCCTTCATGAATGGGGTTAGTGTCCTTAGGAAGGAGGCCCCGGAGACTTCCCTTGCCCCTTCTGCTATGTGAAGACACAGCACAAACGTGCTGTCTGTGACCCAGGAAGCAGCTCTCACCAGACACCAAAGCTGCTGGCGGCTTGATCTTGGACTTCCCAGCCTCCAGAATTGTCAGCAATAAATTTCTGTTGTTTGTAAGTTGCCCAATGTACGGTATTTTCTTATTGCAGCCTGAACACGCTAAGACACCTTTACAATGAACCTCTGCTGTGCCCTGATTGCTAGAGGATTTGAGTCTTTGATAACCAGAACTGGGAGCCCGGGAAGGCCGGATCCCCCAGAGCAAGATCTTGCACATTCTCATGAACTCAGCTTAGAATTCTGATTGCTAGGGACCATTCGGCCCCAGCCCCAGACTGAGGTGATGTCTGAGACCTGCAGAGGGTGGCCAATTTGTCCTGGGTTTAGACTCAAAGCCCTGCATCCCAGAAACACCCTTCAGTCCCAAGCAAACCAGGACGGTGGGTCACCCTCCTCCCGGACAGAGGTCCAGAACCTCTGTTGGCAGGATGTTCCACGACCCCCAACACAGAGCCTGTCGTCTTCTTAGGGACCCCTGGGAGCCAGTCCTCAGGTTGCTAGGGAGACCCTCCTCAGGCCCCAGCCTCTCGGGGAACCTGCTCACAACTCAGCAGATGAGACCTCAGCTATGACAATGGTGAAGGAGCCCACTAGCTGGGCCTCCTCTGCAAACCAAACCCCAGAGCACCTGCTCATGCTGGACCTCTTCCCACCACCCACGGTCCCCACCACCCACGGCCCCCACCACTCCCCACCCACGGCCCCCGCCAGCCACGGCCCCCACCACCCACGGCCCCCTCCACCCACGGCCCCCACCCCCCACGCCCCCCACGGCCCCCTCCACCCACGGCCCCCACCACCCACAGCCCCCTCCCCCCCACTGGCCACACCCCCCACGGGCCTCGCCCCCCATGGCCCCCTCCACCTATGGCCCCCACCACCCACAGCCCCCGTCCCCCACCTGCCAGGGCCTGCACGGAGGGCTGGTCATGCGTGCTCAGGAGCTGTGCCTGGATGGTCTCCACCACTCGCTTGAACCGACGGCTGGGACCTGGAGGGACAGGTGGGCAGAAAAACACTGACTGGGGGTCCAGGATCGGGAAGGCCATCCCAGCCTGCAGAACCCAGTCCCTCCACCAAGCAAACCGCCCTCCCACTCTGGTCTCCATCTCCCCTGCTCCGCTGGGACCACATCAATCCATGGTTTGCAAATGGGTCTGTGCTGCTATTTAAGGAACACAGTCAAACTCACGTACATTCAACTTCAAATAACAGGTGTTGGTTTCTATTCAAATAGATACTATTGCTGGAGTTAAAAGTTTCTGAGGCTGCCACTGAGCTTAGCAGGAATAAGCACTGCCATCAACTGGTGATGTCTGCTCTGGGCCGACTGATATTAGACAGCAGTGTGCTGTGTCTTCACCCTTTGGCTCTACCATCGTAAAGTAATAGGAAGAGCAGGGCTCTCCCTCTGAAGTTGAGAGGCCCGGGTTGGGCTGCAGCTCTGCCAGTGTATTGTGTGACTCTGGCCAAGTCCATTGACCTCCCTATGACTCAGTTTTCTCCTCTGTAAAATGGGTGATTACTAACACCTCAGAGGCTGCTTGGAAGCTTCAAGGAGATCATGCATTCATTATTTACACTGTAAATGCCGGGGAAATGCTGATGAGACTGGGGAAATAGAGGATGGGGTTGTGGGGGGGGTCTGTGTGGGGAGGAGGAGCACAGAGAGTCGGCCCCAGCTGAACTCCATCTCCTCCTCTTGTAGCTGCACTCCTGGGCTCCTACACTATCTGAGCTGTCACGAACGGTCCCAGCTCTGGGCTGAGGGCAGCCTAGCCAAGAGACTCACCCGAGATGAGAGTGAAGGTGACGGAGTAGATGCCGCCGCCTCCACTGCCGTCCCGTCGCGGGGAGGGCTCTGGACCCTCAGAGGAGCTGA